ATACACACAGTTAAAGTTTTACTTTCATCAGATTTGTACAAATAACTTCTGTCGGAAGGATAAACACACACACAGTTAAAGTTTTACTTTCATCAGTTTTATACAAATAACTTCTGTGGGAAGTATAAACATACACACAGTTAAAGTTTTACTTTCATCAGATTTGTACAAATAACTTCTGTTGGAAGGATAAACACATAAACAGTTAAAGTTTTACTATTACCAGATTTGTACAAATAACTTCTGTCGGAAGGATAAACACACACACACAGTTAAAGTTTTACTTTCATCAGATTTATACAAATAACTTCTGTCGGAAGGATAAACATACACACACATTTAAAGTTTTACTTTCATCAGTTTTATACAAATAACTTCTGTCGGAAGGATAAACACATAAACAGTTAATATTTTACTATTACCAGATTTGTACAAATAACTTCTGTCGGAAGGATAAACACACAGAGTTAATGTTTTACTTTCATCAGATTTGTACAAATAACTTCTGTCGGAAGGATAAACACATAAACAGATAAACAGAAATGCTAAAATCACGTTTCAAAAAGTCGGTTTATAAAATAATTTGAGACAAAATATTAAGTTCCATTTTTAGAAGAACTTTTTTTTTTACCCCTAAAAAACCCTAATTTCCAGTTATTCATAATATTGATGAAAGGAATAATATAGATACATAGATATTTGATTCCCATTCTGACATTTCTATTTCTTTGCTAGCGTATCACGTGTTCGATAGATCCAGATGTCCGAGAAAAAAAAAACAGTAGGGAAACAGTGTTACATCCAAAATGTATAGTCAATCCTAAAGTATACGTTATATTCAACCTTAGGGGTCAACTATTTGAAGTGTTGATATATAGCGATATAAATCCCGAGAATCTAAATAATATATGTTTCAAAAATTGTTATAAACATGTTAGAAGGACAGATAAATACTCAGCGAAATAGACGGATCACTGAGAAAAACATTAATAAGGTTGTTAAAATAATGTGATCTAATATCATTGGAAGAAAATATAAGTTTTGTTTCAGTGATTATATTCTAATATCAAACAGTTGTGTCTATTAACCCTAATGAAACCACAAAGGTAAAACGTTGGTTAAAATTTAAAAAATATTTTATATATATACATATGGAGTATGAAAGTCGTTTCTTCTAAACTTTTTATCAAAACCGTGATCATATATATATTTTTTTTAATTGACTAAATCACAGTTTGTTGTCACACAGAAAATTGTAACACGATGTCTTATATGTTGTTGCCAGGACAACCCTGAGGTACGTCAATTGCGAACTGAAATTAACAATGGTAGAAGGCCATTGAGGCGCATGCCCAGCATTCAAAAATACCAGTTCGAGAAACAAAAACATTGTGGGTGATTTACCTGCATAATGGGGTTAAATAACAGTCATTGAAAGTATTGTTCGGAGACGAATTTAACTCTAATAAAGGGTTAAACAGTGTTCATTGTAAAATACAACAAAACAATACGAACTCCAATATCTTTTAGTTTCAAACTTGAAAGCTTGGACAATTGAAGTTTTCTTTTCTATTTCGCTATCTAATAAAACTCTAACATTGTTCATCCACTAGTAATAAAATGAATCTACGACCGCAATAAGGGCGGGAATTTGGTTTGAGTCAATATGTTAATTTTTTTCCGCAGGTTAAATCGGGATTAACTGCTATAACTATCCGATTCAGGCACCGACTAGCAGAATTCCCCGTATGATGACGTAACACTAGCTGGTGGTCTCTGTGACTTTTCGTGCTAAACTATCACAAAGCTTTTATTGGTGTTTTATTCTACAGTAGTCTTATTAGTCAATCATCCAAATCTGTGGGCTCGTATATATGGCTATATGCATGCAACAATATGAAGACAGAATATTGAGGCGGGACAACGGGCAGCGACTACATTGGTTCCCAGGAAAGTGAGACACGCCCCCAACGTGGAAACCCTGAATAATTCCATTGTTCAAGAACTCTCTGCACTTTTCCGATTTCAATTACAGTGTTTCAGACGCTGGCAGCTGGCGTGGCTATTTGATCAATCAAACACGCGAGCATGTGAGCTGCACGAGACAGATAACTGGACACTCAGCACGTGAATTGTAATGATGTAAAACCGTAATTGTCTACCAGTTATACACACGAAATAGGTAGACGGAAAGCGTTATTCAACCTGAGCTTTGTCAGTACTTGGCTCACGTTTATGGTAGGGTAAGTGTTAAAATAACACCAAACGTGAATAGAAACACTGATTAAAAAAACGTTATTTCATCACGAAGTTCCAAACGAAACATTTTTGTGTTCCTGAAATCCTCAATAAGTTGGTGTTTAATAAAGTGGATAACGTTCAAGTTTGACAGGGTAGAAGATTTGATACTGATTAAAATTGTTTTTAGTAACAGGTATCAAACTGAAGAGCTGTTTATTGTGTGGTTATAATTAGTATCAATATTTATTGTATGGTTATAATGAGTATCAATATTTATTGTATGGTTATAATGAGTATCAATATTTATTGTGTGGTTATAATTAGTATCAATAGCTA